CCAGTCAGGCTAACAGACCAGTCAGGCTAACAGTCAGGCTAACAGACCAGTCAGGCTAACAGACCAGGCTAACAGACCAGTCAGGCTAACAGACCAGGCTAACAGACCAGTCAGGCTAACAGACCAGGCTAACAGACCAGTCAGGCTAACAGACCAGTCAGGCTAACAGACCAGTCAGGCTAACAGACCAGTCAGGCTAACAGACCAGTCAGGCTAACAGACCAGGCTAACAGACATGCGTTGAAACATGTCAGGTGTGTCTGAAGAGACATAAAATAAAGTTTTTAGTAATGAATAAAATTTAAGATTTATTAATTGTAGACGATATATAATGTTCTGATAAGGAAGTAATATCAAAAGAAATATTAAAATTTTACCATAAACTTTATCGTTCAAAGTTCTCTAGTGAGAAATGCGTCTTTTTTTCCAGAAATCCAAAAACAAATTATTGCAAAGATGAACAACAGTTTAAAGAAACGTGTGATGATCAATAACAGTTGATCTTGATGAAGCAGTCTGTCACTCATCTCCAGATTAAGGTCCTGGTACAGGTGGCTTCAGGAAGCTTTTATAAACATCACTGAGAAGACCTCAGACTATTGTTGCATCAAGTATTTGTAGATATCTTTGAACCTGTGCTCTATAATCTATATTGAGCTCTATAATCTATATTGAGCTCTATAATCTCAATCCCCAAGGCTGGAAAAGATCCCAACATACTAGATAATATGAGACGGATTAATCTTAGAAACTCAGATTATAAATTATTCAGTTACAGATTAACAGACTCATGAAAGGAACAGTTAAATTAGTGAAACATAGTGTGGTTTTCTGAAAGGACGGTCAGTTCATACAAACATTGATCATAGACATTATAAAATACAGAGATCTTATTACAGATGATGACCTCCTGGTTTTGGACTTGTTTAAGGCCTCTGACTCACTAAAACATAAATTACTTTTCCAAGTATTGGAACATGTTGGATTTGGTGACAAATTCAAAAACAATTACAAGTCTCTACCAAGGTATTAGTAGCAGTGTTCAGTGATCCTGTGGCAACAGGGTCTTTACAAATCAAGATGGTGTTCCTCAGGGATGTGCCATCTCTGTCTGTTTATGTGCTGTCATCTGTATAAAGAATTATAATGATGTAAAAAAAATAAACATTCTATGAAATGAAGTCATTATTAACCAGTTAACGGATGAAACCACTTTATTCTTTAAAGATAAACACCAAATCTCAATCACTATCACAAAATGAATAAATTCTCCACAGCATCGGGATTATGTCTGAATCTTAATAAAAGTGAATTGTTTTCAGTGCATGACTGCTCCCTGGAGGACATGTGTGGTATTCCAGTTAAATCCAAAATAAATACTTAGGAATAAAAGACCTAAAGCCACGCCAAACACTAAACATCGAAAGTAAGATGAAAGAATGTTAATCCAGATTAAACCAATGGTTACAAGGAGATTTGGGGACAAATTTATCTGACAAAGACAGGAAGTTTATCCAGGTCAGGTGTATCTATCCACCTTATTCTCATCCAATCTCCAATAGATTAATAAAATATATTAACAAATAAACTCTAAGCATATCTGGGAAATAAAAGTCATTATATCAAAAAAAGGGATTATGGTGAAGGAAGTTAGAGACGGTGTTTAAGCTGAACACTGAAAATAAGTCTGGATTAAACAGAATGACTCCTTCTGGTACTGCAATCCCAAAAAAAGCTTTGATAAACAAGATGTTTAAAAGTCCTGTTAGTCTGAGGTTTCACTGTTGACAGACTTCTACTGGCTTCATCAGACTTTCAGAAACAGATCCTGCTGTGATGCTGCACTCACACAACTCCTGTCCTCATCCCAATCTGGATTAACACAACCAGATTATTTTATTCTGACAGGAATAAATAATCTGGATTAACACAACCAGATTATTTTATTCTGACAGGAATAAATAATCTGGATTAACACAACCAGATTATTTTATTCTGACAGGAATAAATAATATGGATTAACACAACCAGATTATTTTATTCTGACAGGAATAAATAATCTGGATTAACACAACCAGATTATTTTATTCTGACAGGAATAAAATAATCTGGATTAACACAACCAGATTATTTTATTCTGACAGGAATAAATGATCTGTTATTGATCTGATGGACAACAAAGGCTGTTTACTAAGTTAGGATCAATTCTGTACTAAATACAGCTTTAACCAGGGGCGCCAGCAGGGGGGGCTAGGGGGGCCACGGCCCCCCTGAGAATAATCTGGCCACCTTAGTGCCTGTCTCTCCAGTTTTAT